CATTTTTAGCATCTGCATGCCGGTACACACACACATACACACTGGCTGCTTTGTTCACTGTTGAGTCCAGCAGGTGTTGGTGTGTTTGTCTTTGACATGAGAGAGTTTGTTTTCCCAGGTATATGACAGGCCTCTTATCAGCCCTGTAATACCCAGCAGGAAATCACCACTGATGACTGTGGCACAAGCGCACATCCAAACAGTTTGGACATTTTAATACAAATGTAATTACTCAGCCTGAAGCCCTTATTGGGGTATTTTTACAGAACAGATGTAGTTCGGGTTGACGGGAAGGCGCACCTTGATTTATGTTTTTCTCCAAGAGTAGCACAGGCTGAGAGAATAAACACCAAACATCCGCTGCACGCTGGTTTTGCGTCACCTGTTCACACTTTATATTTGACTCCCCTCTGCAAAGGGGAGAAAATAAGTTTGCTTTCTATCAGTTTACTGCCTTTTTATATGCTCTGTGGTGTGGTGATGACTGGTAATCATTACTGTGGGTGATGATAAGAGCGGCTCTGTTTCTGTCAACCTTAATAGGTAATAAAGTTTAATGAGGAATTACCTGTAAAATTATTAAATTTGTCACAGAGATTGCAGCAATTACATCAATATAGTTTTCAAGACTGTTTGCAGGTGTCCAAAGATGCAGGTGCGATGTAATATGTGGCTGTAAAAGGTTTTGTGAGAAAACTACACATTAACGTCACATAAAGCTGGGATCATATAAGAGGTGATGGATAACACAGCGATAAGCTAAATGAGAATGCAAGAAAGTGACAGAATGAGAGCAGAACAGATGGGGACCATATAAACAAATGGCTACCTTTTAATTTGGAAAAAAAAAAAATTTTGAAAATCTATATTGAGGATAAGTGTGATGTGCTCCTTGCTTTCAGTCAAACTGAACAGTTCAAGGGTGTGCTGAAAGAGGTGCTCAATAATCCAAGAGAGTGTAAGTGTCCTGACCCTGTGCTGCAAGGCCCTGGCCAATCACAGGGGGAGGAGATTTTATGGCACTATTGTGTGCCAGTAATTTTTGCTTTCACTGATGGGGTGGGCGAAGGGGGGGTTTTACGCATATGATCAAAGTGGAATTGGTCAGAGAGGGGACAATTCTTCCACAAGAAGGAAAGGCACCAACTGGCTCCAACAAATGACATTTAATTTTCTCAAGTAGAAAAGAAGAATTCTACTTTTTTTTCTCACTCAAACTTAAGTACCGCCTGCGTCTTGGAGGAGAATGACCATCGCCATGGAGAAGTCCAAAAACTTTCGCATTGACGCGCTGCTGGCGCATGATTCAGACAGGGGGGCGGACAGGGACTGCGTGTCCCCGATACCGTTTCACAGCAGGAGCCCTGATACTAGTCCAGCGTCGACCCGCGGCTCAGATTCGCCCTCTTCACATCCAAAGTATCCAAGCACTTCTCCAGCCCAGCTGCCTGCTGTGTCCAGGCCGCATCTCTTCAACCTGTCTCCGTCTGGATTCACCGCTCTGCAACAAGTAGGTCTTATTGGAATGCATCCGGGCTCCATGTATCCGCTGGCGGGCCTCGGAGGCCAGCACCCTGCCTTGATGTATCCAGCCTTTGCGCAGCTGGTTCAGCCTCATCCGGAGCACACGAAGGGGAGCAGCATGGCCACGATGCTTCCAGCGGATCCCTGGGTGAGAGGAGGAATGGTGATGCCGAGATTTGGAGAGTATGTAGGTGGGTTCATTGTGAAATATCATTCTGTTTTCAAAAAAAAATTATAATTAACCTAAACGCTTTAATAATAGCAATAATAATAATAGTATCATAATAATAATTGTAATACTAATAATAATAATAATAATAATAATAATAATAATAATAATAATAATAATAATAATAAATATTTTAAAATTAACACCTTAATAAATGTCTCCCAGACTTTTTTCCTCTGAAGAGAAGCATTTGAAAATTTACTGTAAAAAAAGCTATTCTAGTAAAATTATGGGATGAAGAAAGTATAGCTACATTTTAAAAACAAGTAATGAGTTTGCTTGTTTTTGTTTGTTTGTTTGTTTTTTTCAAATAACTACTTAGTTGTTTTTATGCATTGATTTATTGATATTCTGGATGTGCAGCTGTGATTGACAGAAAAATAGGTTTGGTACAATAACGTTTTGTTGCTGTTGTTGTTTTTTTTTTTTGCCAACAAGGTAAAACCTGCAAAGGATCTCCCATTAATCAGCTATTTGTTCATGCATTAATGTGATGGACATCTGTAGAGTTTATTGCAAACTCCAAAATCAATTACTCATTGGAATAAATGTTAGGAAAAAGGGGACATTATAACCTACACCCAGATGGGCACCTTTGGTGCAATCTGTCAATTTATTTTTTATCATTAATAACGAATTCAGTGTTTATACTTCTGTCCTAGCACCAGGTCAGGCAGCTTTGCTGGGGAAGTGTCGAAGGCCCAGGACAGCTTTCACCAGTCAGCAGCTTCTGGAACTAGAAAATCAGTTCAAGCTCAACAAGTATCTGTCCAGGCCCAAACGCTTCGAGGTGGCCACCTCGCTCATGCTGACGGAGACTCAGGTTAGAAAGTGGGAATGCATTTCAATCAGAAACACAAGAAATATTTCTGCTTTGTAAAATGTTATTTGATGTCATTGTCAGGTATTAGGAGATGATTGTCTTTAAAATCCTTGCAACACGCAATAAAATCAGGCAGGTCTTGGTTGATATAATAATATATTTTTTAATTTATATTTTAATGCATTTTTGAAAAAGAGTGTATGTTTTTTATTTTGTTTTCAAATTGTGTCACATGTCGTCTCTAATGTGTTACAGCAGACACAGTCAATAAATTAGAACATTATTGGAAAGAACATATATTTTAGGAACTTTATCACTAAATGAAACACATTAAATTAGAACATACTGAAGGATGTTTGAAACCTTTATTTCTGTTAATGATGATGATTTTTCACTTACAGAAAATTAAAACATGATATTTAAGAATTTTATTATTATATCAGATTAATAAAAAAGTAATTTTTACAAAAGAAATGTGGCCCTGCTTAGTGGTTGCTATTTTAAAACGTACCATTGATCTGACAAACGAGACTCATTTAGACGTGTATTCTAATTTATTGAATATGACTGCAATATATACCATTGTGGATTCAAATACTGGGCATTATTGTAATTTATTTGCAAGCTGTACTGTGATAATGCAGTATTATGTTTAGCATCATAATACGCTACAGTATTTTTATAGTTTTTGTCCTGTTTCTATTAAGTGAAGTATCACAGTGATATGTATTTCACAACAAGATAAAAAGATATATATATTTCAAACTGAAAAGAAGGGGATATCAAGCTTCAATCATCTTGTGTGTTTTAGGTGAAAATCTGGTTCCAGAACAGACGTATGAAGTGGAAGAGAAGTCGCAAAGCGAGGGATCAAGTCACTGCAACATCTGACAATACAATGGACATACAGAGTCTCAAACATCACCGCATCTCGCTCAGCTCGAGCCTGGAAGAGGAAAGGGAGAGAGAGGTGGAGGATGAGTTTGGAATAGAAGAAATGAAGCAGCTGAGCAAAGCATCTTTGAGCCCTGTCACCTTCACAAGATACAGGGGAGATGAGGTGGGGATCTACACTTCTTACTCTGAGGAAGAGATTGAGGAAGGTCTTCCAAGAGAAAGAAGTGGAACTTCTTCATAGGATGAATTTGTGGATTTGTACTATATGTTTATTTTGTTTAATATTTATTATGATTTTTGTAATTGCACCAGAGTTCCTGCAAGAAAAGATTTTTTAGGCCAAACTGCTGTTCCATGTTTTCAGCAGAAAAATGTGTCAGTAAATTGTTGCGCTCTTAACATTTTTAGTTTGTCACCTTTACCTTAATGTTTAAAAAAATGCATGCAAGATTTTATGTTTATGTTTGTAAGAAGTGACCTTCTGCACAGGCAATAAAACAGATTACACACAATAAATAAACTGTCATTGTGTATGCACTTAAACAAGACTTACTTATTTTATTCTTGGTTACACTTTTGGGCAAAGAGTCAAAACTGATTTGTGGGAGGAAACACGTGAACCATGTCCCTAAATATCCCTTTCCTTTGTCTACTGCAATGTTGTATTTTAAAGGACTTAACATTTTATTTCTTGGAATAAAATATTCATGTGGTCAACACTTTTTAACTGTTGGTCTCTTGCTTCACACTGTTGTGAGAAATGTTGTTGTACAGGACTGTTTTTGTCATGTTAAATTGCTTGTTAATTTAATTGAAGTCACAGTCTGAAAGTACTTACTTTCCAGTGAACAATGTTTTAAAATGAGTTAACCTATGTTAATTCTCCTGGTATTGTTTTAAACAGATTTTGGATTTTAACATACAATCTAATATCATTTCCACAAAAGTGCAATATGTTGAGTGTTTTATGATGATCCAGCCAGTCTGAGAAATAAAGGTGAATTCATCACGGAACATTGAAGATTACATAAATTGTTGAGAACAATACATAAAACTACACTCTCCATAAAGTTCATATTTGTGTAATTATTGCAGTTGTAGATTCAAAAAAATATCTGACATCCATGTGCATATATATTTTTTATGGGAAAACATGTTAGATGAGGTTCATATCTGACGTTTTCTCGCTTCGGGTTCAATATCAAAAATTGTAGATATCTGAGAGGTTTAATTCATGAATTTGATGCAGGCTGATCATAATTGTCATAATACCCACTAATACGTTTTATAGATAGACTGCCAATGTTTTGTCCGCAAATTTTTAAATATCATATATGCATATATGTCTTCATACATATGCATATTTAACATGCATTCTCTTTGATGTAATAACAGTAAATGAATCTTTTAAGTTTCGGACGTCGACTATAATCTTCTATTTACTAACTCCGCACAAAGCGTTAGTAAACATGAAGCGACTTGATCCTCACAGGATTCCGTAATTCTTGCGCAAACCTAACGCTTACTTGTTGTCATGGAGACGTCGTAACTAAAGAACTTCACTCCGAGGTTTTTTTTTTGTGTGTTACCTTAAATTCTCCTCTTAGCCACTTGTTAGAGCTATTTAAGGTAAGACTGGCGTGTTATTGTCACAGTACGCCAGGTTTTATAACAGCCGTGTGGCGTTCCCTCCGTGTTTATGAGTGTTTATGAGTGTTTTCGTGGTTGCGTTTTACGTTACGGAACCGTTATGTCGCAACATATCCATGGCTTCCTGCGTGAATGCGCTGCTCTCTGTCCACAGCCATGTTAGCTGAACCCCGCTGTCCAGCCTGTTTGGCGTCTGTTTATTGTCGATGGAAGCGCTCCGGCGGAGAGACTGACGTTAAAGTAAAGTTCAAAACACACGCTCAGACTCACAGAGGCATATCTTCACTGAAACTGAGAAAATGAGTGCCGATTACAGAAGTTCAAAAGGGCACTGGTGTAACGTATGTAAACCTTAGCATGTACAGGGTTTAAAAAGTTTGCTTGTAATATATAAAACAAGATGTAGCCTACTTGTGGTGTGCATTTCTAATCATCCCCACATAAGTATTTTTGCAGAACCACGTTTTTTCTTTCATGACATTCGGATGTGATTAACGTATATCCAAAATTTAGTTCAATTCAAAAATTATTTATTGATTCCAAAGTAAACTGTATTAAATTGAGCTGATTTTTCCTTTAATTTAGTCATTAATCCTGGAAGTTTTCCGAATTTCCATTCGATGCTTCATTCCTGTTCACAGGAACCCCAGGTCCCTGATGTAAAAGAATGTGAAAGAAAATCCCTTCTCCAAAGAAACATCTTCTTTGGACTAGAAACCACATTAGATCTGACATGGAAGGACTGGATCATTGGAAGAGAGTACACCAAGACACTGGTGATAAGGAACATCCGTAATAAGCTGCAGAAGCTGCACATTAGGTAATACAAACTCACAAACACAACTCGAAGCCATAGATAAAGAAGACAACAAAGCCTCCTTCTTTCAATACAGTGCTCCAGAGACCGTGTTTTTCTCAATTTTGAATCCTGAAGTAGTTCTTCTCAGCCCAGGGACTTCATTCTCCTTACCGATAACTTTTAAACCTCTCCAAAAGGTAGGCTTTTCTGCAATTAAATTAAACATCACCTAAACTTTATTAGAAACACAAAAGTTGTCAATGGCCAACTGTATAGCTTTTGTTAACTATTTTGTTTTATGTTACTTATTTTTCTTTTGTTTCTGTCTGATTGCATGGGCCAGTGTGGGTATGAGGACTCCATTCAGTTTCAAGCTATTGAAGGAAGCTTTAAAGTATGCCTGCATGCCTTGCTTTCAAGTCATATCCTGAAGGTGCCTGAATCTGTGATGCTCCCCCCATGTGCTGTTGAGCACTGCACACTAACCAGTTTCCCACTAAAAAATATCAGGTGCCTTTGATTGTTTTTAGTATTTATTTTCATGTCCTTGCATTTATGTCCTTGATGATTTTATAATCATCAAGGAACTCTTGTGAAGTATTTTCTATTTTCATCTGTCTCTCTTCAGTCATTGTTTTTTCTTCAATTGTCTTGTGTTTTCTTTATTTTCCTCCTCCAGTAAGGTTCAGATGTCATTTAAATGGGATAGTGCAGCTCCATTCATACTCAGTCCAGAGCAAGGCCAGCTAAAACCAGGACAGCAGTGTGTCATCACGGTGGACTTTCAGCCGCTCGAGGCGCAGGTGTACCAGCAGCAGGTGCAATGCGCATATGGAGAAGATGACGACGACGCTGATAGCTGCTGCACTGTGCTTCTACAAGGGATAGGTATTGCTGAGACTAAACTTGCATTGGGATGTAGAAGGACAAATATGAACTGCTGTGTTTTTAGTGGATTTTTTTTTCTTCTTCATCAATGACTTTTTGTGGTTTCTGTGTATCCTACTGATCCAGAGTGAGAGACCCTTTGGCGGCTCAGGAAACCTTTGCAGGTGTTTTTAGTTAATCAGCTGATTAGGGTGCGACCCCATGAGTTCCAAATATTGTAACTTTTTCTCAATACTCATATTTTTTAATACTCTGAATTGTAAGTTTTTATTATCTATAAGCCATAATAATCAAAACTATAGCAAATATGGACTTGAAATATTTCACTCTATCTATAATGAATTTAGATGTATTATGAAATCTTTCATAAAACAAATTATACAAAATTGTTTTTTGAGATGTACATGAATGAGGCTGTGTGCAAAACTTCTGACCAGAACTATACATTATATTAACAATTACATGTTCACCAAGTATTTCAACAATTACCATTATTTGTAAATTTAAATCTCTATGTTTTTTTTTTAGCCAAATATCCATTTCTTCAATTAAGAATTCCCAATGACAAAGAGGAAATCGGAGACGCTAATATTGAGTTGGACTTTGGGTTTGTGGCTGTTGATCACAGTTTGATTAAAGAATTTGAAATCTTCAATCCTTCTCCTGTAAGTAGGTAACTATGTGTTCATGCTAAACCTAAAAATCAGACTCTTGGTTTTGTCACATTTTTCTTCTTGTTCCTTGCTGTTAGGTGACTGTGTGGTTTTCTCTATCACAACTGCCTGGAGCGGTAGCCATATTTGGATCACACTTCAGTTGGGATGTCACCAGTGAGAAAATAATGCCTGGTGATTCAATCCAGGTTTTGGTGACTTATTCTCCAACTGTGGTCGACATAGTCTCTGTGGAGTACTTGTCTCTGAATTATAGAGGGTCACTCAGCAAAAGTCAGGTCAAACTCATAGGAAAGTGTATGGGTAAGACATTCACTAAAATAAAAACAACTACTTTTTTTTTTCCTTGAAAATAAAATGAACTTAGGAGAGTAACCAAAATTAAGGTATTCTAATTTCTTAAACAACATTCTTTCTTTTAGGTCCTGAACTTTGTTTGTCCTCCTCTGTGGTCAACTTTGAGTGTGTTGAAGTAAAAGGATCAGCAGAACAAACAGTGGACTTGCTGAACTTTTCCCCTGTTCAGGCAACCTACCAATGGGACATAGACTGTGCAAACAGTGTTTTTAAAGTTTCACCACGAAGTGGCACTGTGCTTCCATATGGCCAAGTCAAAGTCAAGGTCTTATACAAACCCACACACCCTATGCCACACCACAGAAGAGTGGCATGTCTCATATTTCTCAGGGTAACATGGCCAATGCAGACATACTTACAAAATTCAAACAGATGATTAATTCCTCCTGAATATTTTTTTCTGATCATACTTCCAGGAGCCTCTGTTTCTGGACTTGATTGGTACATGCCACTCAAATCATCTGGAGCCAGTAGCATTAACACTTGAGCACTTGGCTGAGTACAAGCCTAAGTTGTGCTCATCAGAGACTCCGCTGGGGGTGCTTTCACCCACAGAAGAGGTAAAACATAAAAATAAACAAAGAAAAAAAAACACATTTTCCAGTTTATCTTAGTCACATATAGAGGTAAGAATTGATAAAAATGACACAATATTTTTTTTAATGCTTTAACATTGTCATTAATCAGGAAGGAAATAGTGCTGCTGTCATTCCTCCAGCACCTACGGAGAAATTTAATAAAATCAGGAAAGAACACGTGGATTCTCTCTTTTCGCCATCATTTTCATTTGTGTCTATTGAACCAAGTGAACTGCTGTTTAATCACAAAAAATCATTCTCTATCGCTACATCATCTACTGTCTCGCAGTGTGTCACCTTTAAAAATCGCACCAAAGAGAAACTCAGGTATGTAAACGTGTCAGGGAAGTTTTGTTGCCACAATGGAAGCCAATTATCATGTTTTTCCTGTGGAAATATACATATAAACACTTGCAATGATTCTGTTCAAGCCTGATGTGGACCGTTATCCAAGCTTCCCCTTTCTGTGTTACTCCTTCATCATTTGAGTTGGCCCCACTGAAATCTACCACTGTGCTTGTGACATATGAACCAAGACAGATCAATGCCCTGCATGGAGGAGAGCTTGAGTGCTTTGCATACTGTAAGGTAATATTACTCAAAGTAATATATTCTGCCATACAGTTCTACTTTCTTTCATTCGAAATGGTTCAAATTGTGATTCGTAGTTTTTTCTTGTTGTAAACGCCAAACAATGTCCAGATTTTCAGCTGTTTTAACTATGCTTCTCTAGATGCCGCAGGAGAATCCTTCTTCAGAAGAAGTACTTCCATGTCTGCCTTGTTGTGTGACTGTCAGAGTCATTAGCCACTCTTTTCAGCCAGGGAAAGATCATTTCACCCCATCCTGTATTTTGAAGCCCAACAAAGTGGTAAGATGAAAGAATTACCTACACACATATTATACAGCTGTTGCTAGATCCCAGGACAAAACACAAAACTTAAAGGGATAATATTATGTATTTTCTAGACACCTTGAACTATTATGTGGTATGATAAAGTAACTATGTAACCTTCAGTTTTTCTAAAAGAACCATAACTTTCAATTAATGCTTTGAAATTGGCCTCTGTCTGTTTAAAAAGCTCCTGCTCTTTCCTACACCCTGGCTTTAACACGTCCTTGCCATAATGTTCATCCATGTAAATTTTACTGTGGGTCATTGTGGTATTGGACTGAGAAGAAGTTTGGATGATATCAGTTGAAATGTGTTTTTTTGTGCCCGGGAAATTATTTCTAATACATGTCTGAAAAATATTTATTTACTGACTATTATCACCTTGTTCATGTTAGGTGTTTCCACCTCTGAGTCTTATTTCCTATCGGACTGTGCTACTGCAGAACAATGGTGATCGACCTCTCACCTTCTGCCTGGACCACAAAACAAACAGTGACATGCCAAAGTCTGTGCATATGTCACCAGGCTGTGGTTTCATTAAGCCAAGACAACACCAAATCCTTACCATTGGAGCAGTCCCCACTCTGGATAGTCCCACAGAGGGGTTTAACTTACCACTGCAGCTTAATGCAGCTGAATTCACTAAGGTACCACACGACACAGGAACATATGATGTGGTAAAACTTAATTACATTGTTCTGTTAAATCTTTGTCTTTCTTAGGAACTGACAGTTGTGAGCTCCTTAAAAAATCCATGTGTGTCTTTTGAAAATAGCAACGGTTTACATTTCAGCGCTACAGCTGTCGGCTCAAAATCTCAGCTCACCCATTCCATCAAGAATTTAAGCAGCGTGCCCATCAAGTTAGTTGATTGATTTATCTTCCTATTGTCATTCTGCCCCTGGTTCTCAGACCGTTTTCTGTGTTGTATTTTTACTTTGAAATTACCTCAACACCATTTTTACAGCTGGCCTTCTGTGATTGTTCTCCATGACAGGTTTCAGTGGAACATTCCACATAGAGATAAGAATCTTATCTGTGTTGAACCAGATGCTGGCAAACTGCATCCCAATGAGAGCTCGGTGAGAGATTAACAAAGTTTCACATAGTGTGCATTTAAATTCAGTGTATTGTAAAAGTAATCATATTCCTTGAGTAGTTTTATATTTTATAGAGGTAAAACTGTTCAGGTGGAGTTGGAAGGTAAATGAAATTCTTTTTTACTTTTAATAAGACAGCTGCAAGTTTTTTGAGGTGTGACTCTTACAAGCAGCTGTATGTAGAGATTGAACTTTCACAAAAGTGCAGTGATTTCCAATTTATGCCACAGATCCCCAACTTGAATTAGGTTAGGACTTCTATTGCATCCTTTTCAAACCTGAAGAGGTTTTTTATCAACCATTCCATTGTAGCTCTGGCTGTTCGCTGCTCTGCCTCAAGTCTCAACAACAAACTGGTGTCTAAATTTTTTCCACATAGGTCAAAATCATTAGGCAAGTGTATGCTGTTGACAAAATGTGATAAAAAATGGACAATTTTGTGACTGTTTTTGACTATTAAACAGTAACCTAAACATTTGATGAAACTAAACAAATCATTTTTGCGATATCTGCCTTTTTAGGTCCAAAACATAAAAAAGATTTTGTAACTCTACCTCAGGCGAACAGTTTCCAAATGTCTATTTTTTTGTCTTTGTAGAGAAGGTGAGGTCGACTGATTTTTATTTGTTTTGTCTATTCTCAGCAAGAACAATAGGATTTGAATTGTTTCCTTTGAAAACGTTAGCTATATTTTTACGAGTTAAATGTATTACCAGTAGTTAAATGTGGATTCTGGTGAACCCAGATCTGTTTTGTGTAAATACTACTGGATACCTATGATCCTATTTATTATGAAATTAAAAAGTTAGCAAAAGGCATAATTCTGAAAAGATGGCTATTTTGTGTTTTATTTCAGTTTGTCAGGAAAAGATAGCCATAATTGAACAAGAAATGAAAGACTCCATCTGGAGCAAACACCGGTACTGGGGGTAGTTGCATAAAGTAGTGCACAACTATGTACTATTTTGTATTGGTCTAGCTTAAAATCCCAAGATGAAGTTATTAGTTGTTAAAATATAAAATGTGGACAAGTTCAGGTGGTATGAATATTTTAGTATATCACTGTAGATGAGTTTGGAACGTAAGACTTTGATTGGGATATTTAAAGCAATCTTTAATGTGAAGTTTGCCCTTTCCACAGGTCCAGACATGGACGTTTTCTCCTTTGACAGAAAAAACATTCGCATTCAAGCCCACTCTCAGGTTCCAGAGCGATGACTTTAAGAAGTCGCTACTCATTTTCACAGTGAATGGAATTGGTGCAGCTTGCACCATTGAGGTTTGTCTGTCATTGTGCTCCACACGTTAGATTAGATTAGATTTTTTGTTAGATATGTCTTTATTCTATTGCAAATCAAATTTGATTAAAAAAAACATATTGTGTAGTTGTGTAGATTAAAAATAAAAATACAAAAATGAATTTGATCAAACACTTCCTGTGTGTGTGTTTTTTTTTACTTCCCAGGCAGAGAAAGAACTGCTAGATATTGGAGAGAGCTTAGTTGGAACCTGCCAGTCGGTTAATATTCCTATAATGAACAACTGTAGCTGCCCCATCTCTTTTCATCTGTCTCTACAGCAAGTAGAAAATCCCCCTGACTCTGAGGATAACAGTGGTAATTTGTGGCCTCCTTTGGGAGAGTTTTCTTTGCCTTTTTAAAGTTGTTTTTATTTTGATATTTGCCTAATTTCAAAGTGATCACGTTTGTCCTGCTTCTTTAAGCTCTGCAACTGGACTGTGAAATAGGAACAATTGCTTCACATTCCACTATGCTACTCGGATCCACTCTTAGACTGAGTGCACAAGGCCAGTACCGCTGGGCCATCAGCTATCGGATTACAGATGCCAAAGGTAAACAGTTATTATCATCAGACAGTAGCGCATAATAGTTTTAATAATTCACTCTACATATTTTTTAACTTATGTGTGTCTGCCATCTGCCTGTATTTTTTTGTTATGTTTTCTTTTTCCAGGCTTTGGTATATTTCCTCCTGAGAAACTGTGTGAAATTCAAGTTAAGGGGGTGTTCCCCACCTTACAGGTGGTTGATGCATGTAGCAGTGGCAGCGTGGCCAGGCTGTGCAAGCAGTATTTGTGGAAACTCTTCTCATTGGACAGTTTTAATGAGCACATGCTTTCCACCCCATGTCCTGCAGAAATCACTTTCAAAGACCCCACCAACTACAGGTTAGTTGGTGTTATTTTATTCTCTGAAAAATACAACTTGAAGTTCATACTGAGGAGTACTGTCTTACTTAAGAAGAACTCATCTCTTTGTAATGTCAGATTATGGTGTTTGCTTCATCTTGTCCTTTGCTTCCTTTGACAGTCGGAACAGTCTCTTCAGTTTCCCTCAAGTAATATTGGATTTCAATTTTGGTGCTGCTCCTCTGCATTCAGATCGCTCAGATTTTATGTTGATGTTTTGGAACCCAGGTTCTATATCTGTAGACTGGTATGTAAACAACAAAGTGCTCGCTGCATGATATAGTCAAATCATGCAGCGAGAGAAAAAAAAAATGTTTCATTGATTTAGTGAAATTAGTGAAACATTCTAGTATTTTCTTGTAAATACTTGTTAGATTGTTATTTTTCCATGCATGGGTAATTTTATTTACTGTTATTTTTATGCTTCATTTTCAATATTAGGACATTCTTATTTCCAGAGGATCAAGAAATGGAGCTAGAGGACTGGGCTGTGACAGGACAATTTAGCAAAGCAGAACTGCATCACATGAAGGTCACATTATACAGTTATGCATATTAGTTATCATTCTTACCCCTGTCAGACTTAGAGTTAATACTATGTCTTTCCAACCAAGAAGTCTATTTCTGTCAGGAGTGAGTGAACACATGCATTGCCAAAAAGGGGTATCATTATATTTCAACAATAAATTAAATACCTTAAAGATACTGATCATATAAAAAATGTAATTATATCGTTATGTCTTCACATTGATTTATATTTGTTTTGTTCATTTACAGGTACAAGACAATCAACTCTTCAGAGTTACCCCTCGTTCTGGAACTTTGCTTCCAGGCCAGAAAAGTCCAGTACACTTCTGCTACAGGTCAGGGGTCATTTGAATATACAACTGGTTCTCATTCCTGTAAATAGGGCTTAGCTGTAAGCTTTTAAAAGTCATTCTCTCAAATGTTTTAGCAATGTTAAAGTATCTGATTACACCTTCTAAATCTTTTCATTCACAGTCATGACTTTATTGGAATTGACCAACTTCCTGTTTTGTTCAAACTCAGTCTTGGCAGAGTTTTTTTGGTAAGTATTCTTACAGTTGGTTTTATTTTATTGAACTGTAAAGGTCTGAACAATTTACCTCAAAGGTAAAAGTTTTCATCTCAGCATAAAGTCACATCTAAGTTTGGTGTGTGCTTGTTGCAAAAAAGTTAGAATAGGGCGAGGCCACAAGAAGGAAGCCTCACTGCCTCTCCAACTTCCAACTAGAAAGGCTAGACATCTCTGTGACATTGTTCTCAGATCTGAGGCAATCAAATGCAGTAAAAAACAAACACATCATAAACAATCACAGCTGAAAAAAAACAGCCACTGCTGTCATAATCAAAGGTTTCTTTCAGGGATGCTGTTGATTTTTGTGCCTTTTCTGTGTGCAGCTAAACTTTCAAGGAGTAACATTGAACCGAAATGAACCATATCTACACTTTGCTTCCAATCACCATGTATTCATGCCTGTAGCTATTCAGGACTCCAGTCCTCCACGACAGGCAGGTCATTTTTTAAATCAAAAATGCTAAATGTTTTTCAGCCTTATTAATGAAATAAATAAAAGCTAATTTTTTAACATTACAGCTTCACTTTGCATAACGTTTCTGAGAAATATCGTAACTCTTTCATTTAATAATTGTCTAGATATATGAATTGTACAATGGTGGTGCGGTGACAGTACAGTATGAAGTGGACCAAGCTGTGTTGTCACAGCTTCAGATGGAGAACTACGATCACCCAGTCTTGAGCTGTCTCAGTCCACAAGGAAAAATTCCCCCTGGGAATAAAGCCATCCTCGAATGGATCTTCTCTCCACTGGAGGCTAAGATGTACCATGTATAACTCACACCATGTGTTGTTTACCTTGTTTTAAATTCATATTCCATGTAGATTAGTCTTGTAGTTAATAGGTGGTCAGAGCTTATCACTACAATTTTTTGTAAAATGTTTATAGATTGTTTTATTTTTATTATGGACAGATGGATGTTCCCATACACATCCAGGAAAGGGATTCTGTAATTGTAAACTTTGAGGGATGTGGGATGAATGCAACAAGCGACAGTATCTCCATTGAATACAGCGATGCTAAGACAAGTGAAAACTGTGCCCCAAAGGGGCCATTCCCAGGACAGGCAAGTGCATTTATATACACAGTGTATGTTCTGTTATTTATTTATTTTTGTAAAGAAAAGATCCAATCAGTGCTTATTTAAAATATGTTAATTTCATCGAATATATAATTACTGAAGTTTTCCAAATCCAGGTGGCTTTGTTGTCCCAGGACAGTGTCTTTATTGGCGACATCCCTATTTGCACAAAGTCTTCGAGAATCCTGTTCATCACCAATTACACAGAAACTGTGTACTTTGTCTGGGAGATTCCTACACAAGGCAACCAACAAGTTTGTCCAACCAGTTAAATCTAAACAAAAAAAAAAAAAAATGATGTTATAATTTTACCCCATCTGAGCAACTTTTCTCTCACTCATGTGTTATTGCAGGTGGTACAGATCCATCCAGAACGAGGGTGTCTTGGTCCAGGGGAGTGTGTTATGTGCATCCTGACCTTCAATTCTGATTTCCCCACTGTTTATCAGCTAAATCTCATATGTCAGGTACCAAAGTGTAGCTCTTGATTTTAGGATGATGTGCCCCGCCTTGTCAAACTTTTGCACATTTGTCATGTTGCAGCCATAAACTTCTAAAAAATTTTGGGATTTTATGTACCAGTGTACCAGTCTCCTGATGTGAAAATCTGGTGGGTGAAACCACAAAAGGCAAAAATGATTCTACAAATTATTGATTAAAGGAGCTATACCCAAAGTCATGCTACACTTTCCAGGTTTTTATTTGTGATAATTTTTATGTTGCAAGCCAACAGGAAGCCGACTTCCCCCACTGCCTCTTCATCAGTACCAGAGTTTCCTCTTCTGAGGAGGCTGTGGCATTTATTTAAAAATAAAATTATTTTTATTTGTAATAAAAACCTGGAAAGACAACATATTTTCCCTACATAATTACACAAATTGTTTGTGATTTTAACTGGACAAAATGTGAAAGAGTTCAAGAAGTATGAATGCTTTTTGCCAGGCACTGTTTGTGGTAAATGGTCAGACATTAAATCTAAGTGTTCTACTTGCTCAGCTGACTATTTTAGCTCTATTTGTGTCACTTTCTTCTCCAGATCACTCACAAAGCTGCGCTCATCCAATATCACAGAGCCTTGCAGTGCTGGGAGGAAGAAAAGAAACGACAGCAAAACGAATTCACAATCACAGACAAGATCTCTTCCCGCACTCAAAGAGTTTTAATAGATGAGGTGTGTCTCAAAAGATGGTTAAACCATTATAACCATTTTCACTGTCTTGACAATATTTCCTTTCTGATACAGATAGTTCTCGCACCTCCTGCAAGAAAAGGGGCGCCCCTCCGAAAATACAAGGTGATTAGTAATGTAGCTGCTTTTTGAATATAATGTGAAAACATAGGTCTTTGGAAGAAAAACAGCAGTACAGGTATAGTGTAATTTATCTGCTTCCGCTTCAGACTCTTCCTCCAATCTGTTGCACCAAACCCGTCAGCAATTTATACGACAAAAATAAGAGAGCTCAGTTGCGGCAACAGCGAGAATCAGCTAACTTATGGAGACGCCCCCAAATGCCCCGACCTGCTCTGCTGCACCTCAGTGTCACTGCCCACACCTATGACATTCCAGACTTCTACACACACTTTCCTGATCGGTAAAATAAGCATTATGGCTAATCTTTTTTTACACACTGGATATAGCTGAACCACTGCATTTTGATGAGAAATGTCTTCTACCACATAAAGTCTTATTTTAATTGTGAAGCTTTGAAAATTGTGAAATAGTCTGTTATTACTTACTGATGCTGTTGTTTTATGTAGATACCTTCAGTTGACCAGGACCAAACAAACATTAATTAAATCTTCAAGCACATGCCGCCCTGCAAAGCTGTGTCCATCAACATGTGGCGCTGAGAGAGACATTGTTGTGGACATACTCACTCCTCTTTTCAAGTAAGATACAAAGATATAGCAACTCTTCGTATGTTAGCTTCCTCTTTTACATTGTTTTTAAAATTATTTGTCTTTGACATTCTAGAGATCTCCTTGATGATTCAGCTTTTGCAGAATCTTTGATGGTTTTAGCCTCCAGGCCTCCAATCTACAAGTGTCAGACCTCTACATCTCCCTCCGTCACTCATCCATCTTCACCTCAACATTCTGGTCAGTCGAACTGGACAGTGGACAGAGAAGAAGCTGCAATATTTTTAGGAAAAATTCCTCAAATCCAGGCCACAACGGAGTCCAAGCATGCTCCTTCTGACTTGGCTGAGAATGTTTTGTTGAAGACACTCCAGAACTTAATGATGGAAGCTGTGACTGGAGAGCTGAACTTTTCGGCATGCCCCCGGAGCAAAATACCTTCTTTGTCAGTGAAGTGACTACAATGTGTAACTTGTTGCATAAGTGCTCAGTTAATAGTTGACAAAATTACATTATATGTTCTGTGTTCTGTTAGGTGCAGGACGTCGTTTGCCTAAAGGAGCAGGCCGGGCCTCAACTATCATAATCTACACATCATTCAACCAGCCAAAATGCCTCTATTGCTTTCTTCTAGATCCACCACATGTAAAAATCTGTATTTCTTCTCTCCTTATATAGCCCCAAAATATAATTAAAATAATTTTTAAATTAATAACTTGTTAGAGACAATTTCCTTTTTCACCTTTTAATTTATATGGCAATTGAAAATATTTAGTTTGTCATTTATGCTTGAATTTATGAATTTTCACATTGAAAATAAACAAAAAAGCATTTTAAATAATGTTTATAACAATCCATTCAAGTGTCATTGTAAATTTCAAGTGTCATTGTACAGTAATAGAAAAAGATTAAAAATACCCCAACTGCAAGTCTTGCTTAAAAATAAAGATGAGATTAATAATATTTAAATACATTATTGTGCTGAATGTAAGGCCAGTTGGTAGATACAGTTTAGGTTCAAAGCAAACCAACTAATAGCCTCTAAAAAAGTGCAAAACTTGTTTCATTCTCTCTTTTCCGTTTGTTGTTTACCACTATGAATGCCTCTTTTTTTCCTATGTAACAGGCACAGTATGGATACATTTGTTTTTAACTTGTAAGAGGACTTAATCTGAATTTGGAGACAGCAGGAAAGATCTTGTCTTGAAGATATTGGATCTTCTCCTCTTGAGTTCCCTGATTCTCAAATTCAAAGTAAGGGATCTAAAAGACAGTAAGAGGAAAAAGGGAACAAATATACATTGCAGGTTATGCTTTTATTCTCTATCAGCTGAAAATTGGAAAGGAATTTAAAAAAAAAGAAAAAAAAATTCACAATATTTGCAAAACATACCTCCACCACCTCATATCCCATTCTTTGAAGGTGTCTCCTCTTTGTGGCTTCCTTCCCCAGCAGGTGTCGCGTGTTGGTACAGAATCGGCTTTGCCCATCCAAGCACAGGGCAATTCTATTTAAGAATATAAATATTTTTATTCTCTTTGTATTACTTTGAAAAATAACACCAAACAGCTCCATATGAAACACAGTTCTTGCCTTTTGTATGTGTGTTCCCACTGAGACTGGGGAAGAATGAATCCATTCTCATCCAGACAAATCTCTACATCTAGATAAAAAAATTCAACACACATGACAAGCACAGATCAGTGAAGCATGGATAGGGGCAGTTCTAACATGTTATTCTACAAAGTTAAATGTAATTTTTTTTTTTTTTTACCAGTTTGTTAATTAAATATTTTACACACCTTTGATATGTGCTTGACAACATTATCTTTTAAAAGTTTACAACATGGATATTAAATTTGGTAAATAATCTTGGAAATTTCTAGGAATAACAATTCATTAGTCTTTTACTTTTTTTTTATCAAGACATTGATTAGTAAAATAAATTCAAAGTGTGATATTGCTGCTGGCCACACACCTAATTTATACTTAAATTATGTCATTGTAGCTTACCTACAGTGTATCCAATGGGGATAAAAACGCTGGCAAAGAAAAATTTACCCCCCAGCAACTGCATAAGTGGACCTTTGACCTTTTGGAAGAGCAGTGTCTCCATAGGGCTCTCAAAAGCCTGGTCCAAAGAGGAAAACTTCTTTACATGGAGAGAGAAGGGAAGTCTGGGACCCTGAGAGTTTGAAAAAAAGGGGGGAAACACTACATCTTTACTATGGAGATCATCTCAATCAAGTTTTCTGAACACAAACAAACTACTATTATTATAAATTCTCAGTGTCAAAGAAAACTCACCCTGTAGTAAGTACACTCTAATGAGGCAGAGAGATGAAGCTGTGTCAATTGTCTCAAAGCGTTCTTGTCCACAGGTTCTCCCTTATCTTTAGGAACGAAAAGGATTATTAAGCACATGTATTTTATCTAATTCATTCTTGGGTGTAGCGATTTGTGATTGCATTGAATAACTAATAACTCCCTCTATTTTGGTGCATTTTGCTTAGATTTTATGTGGAAGTAGTGCCTAATTATGAAGTGGAAGGAAAATTTAGGACACTAAATTTGTCACAAATTTAGTGTCCTAAATTTGTCACAAATTTAGTGTCCTAAATTTAGCGTCCTAAATTTGTCACAAATATTACTTTAATTTAGTGGACATTTTCATCAATTAATTTATTACATAATGTAATATGATCCAAGTTTCCAGATTTTAGAAGTAATTTTCTTTAACAGAGCAGAAATTTCATCCAGTAACTTAGCATGAATGAATAGTGGGACTATCCCTCTCACTGTATCCATCAGCAGTCTGAGCCTTTCACATACCTTGCAGCTTCTGCAGGAAGTAAAGGCTAAAGATCTTGTCCATGTAGTTGAGTGGAAAGCGTTCCAGGTGAATGCAGGCGTGCAGCACATCCAGTAGGGAGCGAGGCTGGAAGTGGGAAAATCTGGCCGTCAAAACGTTCTCCAGCTTTTTGAACATCTGACTGGAACACTGATGGACAAAGAAGAGCAGCAATATGACAGGAGATGGTAATGCTATAATCATAAAAGAGACTGTGTACTTATTATTTTTTCTTTAAGGACAACCAGTGAGAAACATGGATTTCTTGTATTACAACAGAACCAACAAGCTCACCTGTGGCAGGTAGTTGAGTCGGCCAATAGCAACAATCTGTTTGGCGATCTGTGTGTCGGTGTGCCTCTCAGCACTGCACACAAAGTTCTCAGCCACAGCCTCAAAAATGGGCTCCGAGCGGCACCTCATATGCAAACAGTACTCCATGACCTTACTGATCAGCTCTGGATCACACGTTCCCAGCCTCTCTGATGAATGAAAGAAAATGTTCACATTGTCTTTGTTTAATCTACTATTCCGGCAAATATTCTAGAAGTCACAGAATTACGACTAAAATCTAAACAGTTGGGATTAGGTAACCTAAAGCTGTTTTACAAAGAATACCTGGTAGATGTTTCTCCATAGCAGCCAGGAGTTCTTCATCATGTTGCCCCAGAATCATTAGAGCGGAGAGCACCTTGATTATTTCATCATCACTGAACGCTTTAAAGACCTGTGACGCTCTGTGACTCAGCCTCAGCACTAAGGAAATGGTCTGTGAAACAGAAAATTACTGTAGCATCACTATAAGCGAAGGGGTTTTCTACTCTACTTCAAAATAGAGAATAGTAAACACCAAATATTGGAAGCGTCAGATGCGGTATCTATGAAAGCATTTCAAGGTTTTCATTTTTAAATGCAAATGTGTCCAGAGTTGGTTGAAGCATGGATGTGGCCTTAAAGTTTTCATATTTCCATGTCATTGATGTATGAGAATTTTATAATATAAGACAAAGTAGGCGACACTTTAAATTTTTATATATATATATATATATATATATATATATATATATATATATATATATATATATGTAGTTTGTGTCTCTCTTTAAAAGTGATGGAATCTTATTTTAATACCTCATCTGTATATGACTTCTTGCAAATGTAACCTGTCTTTTTATGTAAATATCTCAAGGAAAAATAGCTTATGCTAACAGATAGAAATAAACATTCTGTTTAGAACACAAACAACAAAATTTGAATCTTTCTAGCAATAAGACATTTTAAAAAGCAGTCTTACAACAATGATTTGCATTTTAAATCAAGGGTCACAAGTTGCTTTTTGGACGATAGTTAATGATGCATCAGATTTACGTGCATAAATCTGACTTGTGTGAGTTCTAGTGCTCTTTGGGGGAGCACCCCTTTGGTTAGGATTAGTTTGTTGTTAACGTCTGTATGTGTTCCTACCTGTTTCTGCTTCAACTTCAGCAGACACTGAAGAATGTCACTGACTTGGCTGGATTTCAGCCTGTGCATCTGCCTTTGAGTTTGTCTGTGCAGAACAGACAGCATCAGTGCTTGCTGCTGGCAGCTGGGCTCATATAACACTGTCAACAGGGAGTAAACTGCTGCCACCTCACTGGGAGAGACCACATCCTCTACAGCACAGCTGATGGAGTTCATGACCTCTGTCACCAGGCCCGACCCGCGGCCTTCCAGAGCACACGCCACCTTTCCTAGTTGGCAGAGCTGTGCTAACCCGACATCCCTGCTGGGAAGCAGCTCCAGGCACTCTTTCACCAGGATCAGGACTGCAGGGCTCTGGGCTTCCAAGCCAAACTCAACACATGCTTGCAGTAAAGAGACCAGTCCCTCTGCTCTGTCATTGATTGGGAAGCCTGCCAGTTCGGAGCACAACTTGGTGATGACATCCTCCTCAAACAGAGACAGGATGTTTACATGTGCAGCAGCGTCTCTCTGTGCTTTGGCGTATGGTGTGTATGAAGAGAGGTGTCCACCTGCTCTCCCTGCAGGTTTGTGTGCCACGTGGGCATCATTGTGGCAGGGGGTCGCTACATTGGTTGTAGTTGTTGGAACCTCGTAGAACAGGGCAGCGCCAGCTGCGGCGGTCCGCGTCCTTTCGCTTTGGAAACAGCGCATGACAGGATCAGTGATGTGTGGCTGTTCCGCAATAACAGATTTACTGACAAATTCAGAGTCTGTGACTCTTTCTGGAGAGCTGCAGAGACTGAGGCCACGGTACAGAGGAAAACACGCAGAGGCTTTCTGGCATGCAGTCCTGAGTGACACTGACATAAAGACGATGGACTTCATCGTTCTTAAAAATGCTCCTTCCTGTTGGCGAACAGCACAAGAGTCACTGTCAAACATGTGCTACTTTGCTAAACATTGAAAAAACAATCAGAAAAATCAAAGATGACGTTGGAAACACAGCATCTTTCCTACAGATTGCACACGACTTACCTTCTGAGAGACACTGTGATCATGTAAGCCTGAGACAGAGCCTGTTACATAGAAGTCGCATGCGGCGTTTTGCAACGAAGTTGTGTAAAGAGCACGTTCACGTGTTTGCATGTGCTGCCACCCAGCGGCCAAAGTATTTATTGCACACGGGCTCCACGTTACATACCCATTTGTCATTACATTATAACCACAGTCAGTCAGTGAATATTTACTGTGGAATCATCAGAGTCCGTTAGTGGGTGGGATATATTTTATAAGGCTGCCTGAAAAGTGCCTGTATAAAAACAAAAATTAAAGTGAGCGTGTGCTTATTTTATTATGATAATAATAATGGTTTGAATTAATTTAAATGCAATTTCTTAA